GCTTCTCCCTCTCCCACTCCCCGTTTGTGTTCCCTCTCTTGCTGTGTCTTTCTCTGTCAAATAAATAAATAAAATCTTTAAAAAAAAAAAAAGTTTTTATTTAAATTGCAGTTAACGCACAGTGTTCTATTAGTTTCAGGTGTACAATATAGTGACTCAGCAATTCCATACATCAGCCAGTGCTCATCACAATAAAGGTTTTGTTGTTGTTTTTTTAATAAACATAAAAAGAAGGGCCTTGGCCCTTATGAGGTGAAGACCACAAGAACTCTTTAGAACAACACCTCTGAAATTTCTGCTCTAACTTCTATTCCCACTAACTCTTTCTTCAACTTTCCTCTTTTCAATGTTTCTGCCAACTGGAATCATAAATCAAAGTTTATGATCATCTCCAGATATACTGGCCACAGACCTCATGAAATCAAAATCACTTTATGCTTCTCCTGTCTTCTGGAGTTCACCAGAACTATAACACTCACCTCCTCAATCTGGTTACTTAAGACTTCTTAAGGACAACCATTCTCATGTCCCCAACCACAGTTGCTTATTGTTCCAAACTATACCTCCAAGTCTTTTGTCCCTTTCTAAGAACACTTATTCATCTAACAAGCACATGTTTGTGGCTAACATGGGGCAACTGGGGCCTACAAAGATGTGGAAGGTACATAGTTCCTACTTTTATAAAGCTTGTGGTTGAGAAGAGGGCTAACTACACAGCTCTAAAACAAGGTGGAAATGGGGCAAGCCTGTAAGAGAGAGACAAATGAAGCACCATGTTTGCTTAGAGGAAGCTTCTGGTGAGGGGCCTCAGGATAGCAGCACTGTAACAAGACTTTAAGGGGCAGGTAGAATTGCACCAGATCAGGGACGAGCAAGCAGATGTGAGTTTACTTCTTCATTTTATATGTTTTTCTCTTCTTAGTACATTATGCAGTCCTTCTCATTTTTATTTATTCATTTATTTATTTATTTTATTTATGTTTTATATTATGTTCTTCAAATGAGGCTTTCCTAATAAAAAATCTTTTTTAATCTCATAAACCTCTCTTTTTAATTTTCTTCCATTAATATTACTTTGAATTTTTAATAAGTTTGCTTTTAATTGGGTATTTAATCAACTTTACAATGAAAGTTAAATAGGAATATCTAAGTAACGAAAGCAACATGAACTTTCTTTAAAAAAATCTCAAATCTCCATGTTTTCATAAAGCCTGAAGACTTTTCCCATTCTATTGCTTGCATAAAAATAATTGTGCAAATTGTTAGAAACCAATCATTCTGAATTAAACATTTTTTTCTCATCTGCTATTGCTTTCTGTAGTCCTCAACCCATTGTCTACGTTTCTCATATTTATCATTCCTACCAGCAATATAATGTTTTATTGTATCAATGTACAACATTTGACTTGCTGTGTTCTTATTTCCCTATAGATATGTGTTGGATGGCGAGACCGTTTCTAGTTTGTAGATGTACTAATGAGTATCGCTACACACACATCCATCCATATGCCTTTTCTTTCCTTTGAATTACCTCCTCGGTCTGTGATACATTTTCTAGAGTGAAACAAGGTAATATATAATGTATGGCTAAGGGTGTGGGTGCTGGCAGCCTGACTGTGCTTTGTGCTTGAATCCTGGCTCTGCCACTCACCTTCTGCAAGAACTTGAGCAAATTACTTAACCTCTATGAGACATAGTTTCTTCAACTAAAAAATAGGAATAAAGTCGTACTCATCTCACATGATTAATGGGAGAATTATATGAGATAAAGATACATGTAAACTGTTAGGACTATGCTTCACCCATCATAAATGTTCAATAGTGGTTTAGGGGATTTTTTTTTTAAGATTTTATTTTTAAGTAATCTCTACACCCAATGTGGAGCTTGAACCCACAACCCCGAGATCAAGAGTCGCACGCTCTACTGACCAAGCCAGCCAGGCACCCCTAAATAATGGTAGTTATTAATTATATACATTTCTTGGCATACTGTTTGTTGCATTCTAAAATTCAGCAAATGCTGATTTCCTTGTTTTCATCTACCCAAATTACTATAATTTGGACAAAGTATTTGATCATTTCTATTAATCATGGAATTAGAAGCTCAGGGTTGTGAATTTTAAAGATTTAGTCTCTGATTCATGTCAGATATGTTTAAGATGCTTTCCAGATAAAGAACATTAGCTTACAGAATCATCAGATGCTTCCAAATTTTCATCTTTGTGTATTGTTGTTCTTATTTTTTTGCTACAGGATCCTACCTTACATTTATTATGTTTGTATTTTTCTACTGTAATAGACGGAGCCCTTGGTTTCAAGTAAAACACCTCAACTGTTTACAAGAAGGAAAGGTAGGGTACAGCCGGATGCTTGTTTCCTCCCTCTGTCTCTGGCATCTGCTCTTCTCTGTGCATGAGTTTCATTTTTCAACCTGGCTACCCCCTTCCCCCCAGGAGGAAACCTGGCCCCTGAGAGCTCCCAGGCTTCCTTTGACAGTGACTGCGTGTCATTACCAATTCCACATTCCCAGGAAAGGAGTCTTATTGGCCTGGCTTGGGTCAGTTGCTCACTCCTGAGGCCATCAACTGTGGCCAGGGAGTTTGGCCACGTAACTGGTGGTCCCAGTCAGAGTCATTTATCTGGAGGGGAAGGAAAACCATTAACCCCAAGGGAGGGTGCTAAACAGAAGGGCTCTGGCCAGACCAAATGACAGATTCCATCAACTCAAGTTATTAGAGGGGCTTGATATGTTTCACATATGTTTACTGTTTTTGTGTGAACCTCTTCCTCTTATGTGAAATGTTCATGTCTTTGACCATTTGTCATCAGAACATATTTTTCCCTTACATATTTATATCATTATGGGGCGCCTGGGTGGCTCAGTCAGTTAAGTGTCCAACTCTTGATTTTGGCTCAGGTCATGATCTCAGGGTTGTGAGATCAAGCCCCACGTTGGGCTCCATGCTGGGCATGGAGCCTGCTTAAGATTCTCTCTCTCTCCCTCTGCCCCTCCCCCCTCTCTAAAACAAACAAACAAATTTATGTCTTTCCCTAATGGTTTTGGGAATACAACTGTGCAAATACTAAAAAAATTTAGAAAGGCATCAAGATTACTGAAGAACTACTATGTTTAAGAAGTTGTTCTCAGTGCTCTGAAAAGTTCAGAGAGGGCGCCTGGGTGGCTCAGTTGGTTAAGCAACTGCCTTCAGCTCAGGTCATGATCCTGGAGTCCCGGGATGGAGTCCCGCATCGGGCTCCCTGCTCAACGAGGAGCCTGCTTCTCCCTCTGACCCTCCCCCCTCCCATGTACTCTCTCTCATTCTCACTCTCTCAAATAAATAAATAAATCTTTAAAAAAAAAAAGAAAGAAAAGTTCAGAGAGCTGCATTACTGTAAAGAATTTAGTTTCTAATGGGATTGAATATACAAATAAAAAATGAAATAAAAAAGGCTGTACACAAGTCGTTCCTCAATTATGGAGACCACATCCTTAAGAACTTTGAGGCAGAAGGCCTATGGTTCAAGAACTTAAATCCCTATGACAGAAATCACATTAGGGGAAATGATACTTGGAATAAACCTCTGAAAGCCATTAGAATTATGTTCTCATGTACTAAAATAAATATGACTTTTATACATCTTAACTTTGCCATTTCATACTCACTAGCAAGATACCTTTCAGGACCTTTTTCCTGTAGTTTCTTTAAGATATTTACAAATCATTTTGTAGGCTTGTTAAAAAATATCCATAGCGAGAAGAATTCTTTCAGGGGTTGGTCCTCCTCTGAATGTTCAAGGTCTTATTTTATGACTTGGTGGTTTCTATCAGACACACTAATATCCGGTCTCCATTCCTTACACACCAAGGGCTTCCTAACAAGTATCCGTGACTTTGCCTGAGGGCTTCTCCCAGTAGCAGAAGCAGACTTGGTCAGGGACAGGCTAGAAGTGCTGCAAATGTAATACCTCCAGGAGCAAAAGAGAGTTGGTAGAAAAACGCACCAGTTCTCACCTCTTAGGTGGCAGGACTAAGGTGGGGGCCATACAGTGTCCCAGAGGTCTCCAGAGGGATTGGGTCCTAGTTGACCATAGCAGTAATGTGTTCATTAACACCTTGTATGACATCTAAACAAACAGCTTGCCTTAAAATCCTTGATTCAGGTTCTGCTTTTGGGGGGGAACTAAACCCAGGAGGAAGTTTGACTCCCAGCTCCTGGTCTCTGCCTCCTAAAATATCTGGGTTCTCAAGAAATGTTGGAGGCTTGAGAAAAACCTTTGAGAACTGATCCCCCAGCAATACCCAGAGTTTTGCAGTCCTGGATCTGCCCATTTTAACTTCATGCCAGGTACATGCATTTCTCCCCTATTCTCCCCACTGAAACTACAGAAGTGCTTTCAAAGCCCTGGATTATTACTGCTTGTTTTCCTTGGTCCTGCCCAATCTTTCAGTTCAAAAATCTTTTTTTTTTTTTAAAGATTTTTTATTTATTTATTTGACACAGAGAGACAGAGAGAGAGCACAAGCAGGGGGAGCAGCAGAGGGAGAGAGAGAAGCAGGCTCTCCGCTGAGCCGGTAGCCCGACGCGGGGCTCAATCCCAGGACCTCAAGATCATGACCTGAGCCGAAGGCAGACGCCTAACCGACTGAGCCACCCAGGCGCCCCTCATTTCAAAAATCTTTGTCTCTGCTTTAGTTCCTCTCTACTTTCAACTTCCATTTCTCTTTTCCTAGCTATCCATGAAGGAGTGATCTGCAATTTACATATTCCAGGACTGAAAGTCTACAGTTGCTGATAAAATATACATCTGTATGTATTAAATAAGAATTATGTCTAAGAGAATGTCATGGTTAGGGAGTTTAAAATGATGTATCAAAAAGGAAGTAGAAATACAACCTGCTCAATTAGAGAAGGCTTCACAGAGAAGTTTGGGACCCCTGATCTAGTCTTATCACACCCATTTTTACAGATGGGGAAACTGAGATCTATAAGGTTAAATTACTGACTCAGAGTCCTACAGCTTATAATTGGTGACCAACCCCCACTTCTCACCCCTCAATCCCTTCTGTGCTCCACCCCATGCTGCCCACTCACCATTTATCCAGCGGCAGCCTTGCCTCTGCCTTTGTCTTTTGTTGGCCTTGAAGTTTGCCATGAGGACAAAGCCTGGAAAAAGATGAGAACAAACAGCACATTCTCCTAAGCACTCTCCACAGTGCACAATATCAGTTGTCCTGAGAGGGTTTTGATATGGGCTGAAAATATTGTTTTGTCTTAAATCTTGGAAAAAATTCTAGTTGCATGGAATTTTTTTCTCCAGAATTAATCATGGGTAGCATACTCTTTATCCTTGTTCTTTGACGAAGCAGAAAACAAAATAGCCATTGAAGGCGCTCTTTGTTTACACCCAGGGACTAATGATGTTGTACACTCCTCCCACCAAGCAGCCCTCGAGTACTGGTCTCTCTGAAGAGCGCTGAGTGCCCAGGGTGCTGACTAAGCCCATCCCAACCCCAACTTTTGCCAAGGAGACAATTCTCTGACTGTTCTTGAGCTTGGTCGTATCAAATATTCTCAACAAGTTCTTCCAATTTCTGTTTTTAAAATAAAAATCAAAAGACCAGCACATTCCTTTTATGTTTGTGCAAATGAAGCAGAGGCAAGAAGCTGGTGAAACTCTAGCTAAAGCCTTTTGATATGTAACTTGAGTGATGGCCTACTGAAGTCCTGAAGTATAAATTAAACTATTTTTATATTTATATACTATATTTATTATATAGTATAAATATATTTACCTTGTTTCAGATTTCAAGATTGTATTTTTGGTACTTCTATAGACTGTGGAATCAATATTCTAAGAATGAGTCTTACCTCCAGTAAGAGTGACTCAGGCATAATTGGGGATCCATTAAAATACAACCTTCTCTTCCCACACCAGGCTTTGTTTTAGAGGGGGCATCATTAGCACAGTTAGTGTTCACTAGAGACAGTGCTAATCACCATGAAGTCATTTCAGGCAACCCAACGTCAGCTGAGGGCTGCACTGACATGAATATCATGCACACTCTATAGCTCTCATTTTCTGCATTGATTCATGTTTGACTTGGATCTAATCAGGCATGTCTCATAACAGAAAACACTCCTTTTCTGCAAAGATGTTTAGGACCTGGACTGTGAACTGCTGCAAGGCATAGATGTAGGATATCCATGTAAGGTCCTCAGCCTGCCGCAGAATGTGTGTTAGATATAGTTATGTATGGCCCCAACTAGAAAATGAACACAATCTCTATTCCATTCCTCCCTCCTAAGATCACCTCTCCCCTGCCCCCCACCAGGGGTCCCTGCTTCTCCCGCAAGGGAATCACTGTTGAAAAAAATTAGAGCCTCTAGAAAATCAAGAGTACCTCAGGGAAAAGACAGAAGAAATTCTAGGCAGCAGGAACAGCCTGGGGGAGCTGTTTCCAGGAGCAAATATCCAGCCATTGGGCCTTGTTTTTGGTAAGCACCCCCTTGAAAGCAAACATAACAAGTATTTTAAAAGAGAGGGGAAAAAAACCCCAAAAATTCTAGGAAAGCACTGTGATCATCTGTCATTCTCATCTTAAGATGAGAGCCCTTAGAATTTCCTCTTGATCTCCATATCTCTTTAATTCTCTTATCTTTAATGACTAAAGTAAAATTTGGTCCTTTAACAAGTAATCAGATTTGCCCAACTCTCCATTTGACCTGAGAGCAGCTTTCAGCAAAGCTTGTTAGAAAGTGAGCAAAAGTGTGGCTTGTTGTTTTGGAGCCTCTGAAGGACGATACAGCTGCCACCGTGAGACAAGCCGGCTTTATTTGTGCTGAACCACAGCAGTGTCTCCTGCTCTTCCTTGCTCTCAGGTTAGCACTTCATCTTTATCTAATCTTTAACAAAGCAGAGTCTGTCAGGGAGTCTGCGGTGAGCATAGGGAATCAGCCTCTCCTTCTGGAATGTGGCAGCAGTGAACAGTGCCTAAATATTTATTTCAAATATAATCTATCCTGTAGTCCTCCACATCCAAAGATCTTTCCAGTTTAAGTCTGTGGCCCTATAATTCAGAGGGCTTTTGCAACGAGAGGCCCTACGAATGGACTGGAGCATCACAGCCACTGCCAAGCTGGGAGGAACCACACACACAGCTGGCCTTCCCAGGGACAGCACAGAGAAGGAAGAGGACCCTGCTTTGAGCAGGCTCACTGCATAAGATTGTGCATATTGCTGGGAGGTCCGTTGTGGTAGGGATGGCTGTGAATGGAGGTGTGGCAGACAGAATGGACTAGGCTGTCTACAGTAACAAACAGTCCCAAAGTCTCAGTGGCTCAGCATACCAAAAGTTGATTGTTTGCTCACGCTCAATGTCCAGCACGTGGAGGCAGGGGGATCCAAGCTGAGCAATTCCATCTCAACACATGTTTTTATAATTTCCTCAGCAGGGAGAAGAAAATACAGTGCCTCATGCACTGGTTCTTAAAGCCTCTGACTGCAAGTGACACATGTCATTTCTGTTTCTACTTCATTGGGTAAAGTAAGTCATATGTCCACGTCTAATTATAAAAAAGGAAAGGAAGTGCACTCTTACCACATATCCTGAAGAAGAGAATGGGAATATTTGAAACAACCCTAATGACTACTGCGGGGGGTCCAGTTGGAAGGACTCCAGTGCTACCTTTATATTCTAGGAGCTCTCAACTAGATCAGGAAGAACTATTTCCATATTCGTATGTCTGATATTCATATGTCTCTTACAACTCAAGTGTCTTATTTCCAGAGGTAGGTCTTAATAGGCAATTATCTAGAGAGAAAAGCAGGAATTCCTAATTCTTCCAAGCAGGTTCACTATATTTTCATGTTTAAAATAAAGAATTCCAGGGGCACCTGGGTGGCTCAGTCATTAGGCGTCTCCCTTCGGCTCAGGTCGTGATCCCAGAGTCCTGGGATCGGGCCCCGCATCTGGCTCCCTGCTCGGCTGGAAGCCTGCTTCTCCCTCTCCCACTCCCCCTGCTTGTGTTCCCTCTCTCGCTGTCTCTCTTGCTGTCAAATAAATAAATAAAATCTTTTAAAAAATTAAAAATAAAATAAAATAAAGAATTCCATAAAATACAGATATCATTGTTGAGACCTAGCTTAAGGGAGTGACTAATTCCCCAAGGCTTCAGAAATAAAACATGCCTCTAGGTAGTGGACACTAATTGTCTGAAGAACCTACTCTGAGTATTGTCCTTCCTTTCTACACTTGAGTCACATTGTGGAAGTGGTGGGAATCTGACAACCATCATGTTCAATACGAACCTCTCTCTAAGACGGAGCATATTGGATCAGAGTGGACTTCTGACCAAAGCTGGGCCAGAGTTTCTTCTCTAGCAATTTAGAGTTTGGACGAAGAGAAACTCTGGGGAAACAGGATTTTGACTAATTGGTTTCAGTTGTCTGTTGACTAGAGATGTACCTGACACTATTAGCGCTCACTAACTATCCATAGGCTCCTCTCCGTTTCCCGGTTTCCTGAACAGTTAGAATGGAGCCATGTGACAAAGTTCTGGCCATTGGAAGACGGACAGAAATGACAAGCCACATTTAGGGTTGGCTGTTGAAAATACCTCTCATATCCCTCCACTTTCTTTTCCCCACCACAGTGCCCTTGGAGGTCACATGATTAGATGGCATAGCTATAAGATGGAGAGGGGCTATCCATTGCATAGAAAATTGTGACACGAGTAAGGGAAAAAAATATGGATTAGGATGTATTTTTTGCTTCAACATATCCTAGGCTATACTGACTAACATAGAACCGACAGAGGAGTGGCTTTGTTCTGCCGAGTATCTAAGAAAAGCTGATCTGCAAAGAGGGAGAAAAATGACGTACATGTGCAGAGGTAGGCAGAATTGAGAAAAAGAGTCCCTGGGTCCTAATTCCTGGTTCTAATCCCTTCTTTTTTTTTTTTTTAAAGATTTTATTTATTTTTGACAGAGAGAGAGTGTACCAGCAGGGGAAGCAGCAGGCAGAGGGAGAGGAAGAAGCAGGCCTCCCGCTGAGCAGGGAGCCCGATGTGGGACTCGATCCCAGGACCCCGGGATCATGACCTGAGCCGAAGGCAGACGCTTAATGTCTGAGCCACCCAGGCACCCTGGTTCTAATCCCTTCTTAAGGGTAAATCACATTTCTGTCCTTGGCTTCTGTGATGCCATTGTATCCTTATTATAGTAAATGTCCTGTTTTTTATTAAGCTTGTTCCAGAGTTTCTTTCTTCTGCAACCAAAAAGTTATAACCTTGTAACCTTTATAACTTTTAATACCTCTCATATCTCAGTGCTCAGCATGAGATTACTCATTACTCAGCATGAAAACAACTAACAAATTAATGGGTATGATGCTGACTTAGATTTTTAATTCCTTCATGCAGGAATGCCAAGAACTACAGCAAAATCTTGTCCAGATGTAATTCCATAGTACACTCAGTGCTTCTAACACAATTCCAGAATTACAGATCTTGTTTACTTATCCGAAATTCAAATAAAGGTGGATAATCTTTTCAGTTTTATTGGTTACAAATGACCAGCTGACAAGTTACTCAACTTCTGCAATTGTAGTAAAATTCTAGAGCTATCAAGAAAAGGTGGCTTGTTCAAGAACAGCTAAGGAATTGATTCACTCTTCAGAACCTGTGCCAACTGCCTTTCTGCAGGTGAGCTAAATAGTGGATACCTTTTACAGAAGGAAAGCCATCATCCTATGAAGAAAAACTCTTTCTCTGCCATGAACAAGCTGAACGCAATCACAGAAACTGCAGACAAAAGAGCTTTTGATGACAGATATTGCTGATGCCTGGTGCCTTCAAAGACAATCCAGGAAAGGTGAAGGAATAATTGTGACTAACAATAACTCATGCTTCTTCCAGGATGTTACTCATTGGGCCAATGGATCACTTGAGAAATATGTCAGTGAGTCAGTTCATACTCAATTTGGCAAAAAGATTCCAGGTCCCTAAGCTCTTTGCATTGAATGGAGTAAATGCCAAATGGATACATTCTCTGGGACAAGTAAAGGCAGGAGAACTTTGATAGTAAAAAGCAGTTTGCTCCTTTAGTATCCCCATCCACCACCCCAAGCCATATAGCTGAGCAATATGGAATTATCAAGGCTAATGAAGAAAATCTTGAGTACACACCCCTCAAAAAGATAAAGGACCCAGGGGAAGGAGAACGGTGGAAACACCAGTAAAAAGTCTAATTCACCAAACATTTAAAACAACATGAACTTATAAGTATTGCAACCTATATATGAGGATATATCAAAGGCCAGTTAAAATAATAATGGTTACAAACAAAAAGGAGGTTGGACCAGACGGTCTAAGGTCTTTTATTTGAAATTCCATGATGAAAGGACTATGTGAAATTTTGTAGGTCAAGGGCCAAATGTGGCCACTGATTAAATTCATCCTATGATAATGGCATTGACATTCATTATATTTTTTTTTTTACTGTGTCATGCACTCATAAGAGTTTATTAAAATATACAGCTTAAAGGAGAATGAAACTCAATACTCATGTACTTACTGCCTGGCCTAGTCTAAGAATAAAATATTAACAATACTTCATAGGCCCCCTGAGCCTACCACAGTTGCATCTTCCTCCACTTACTCCTCCTCAATGGCAACCCAGAGGTTACTACCAGTTCACACTCTTATGTTAATCATTCCCAGCTCTCTTTATGGTTTTACCACCTATGACTCTATGCCCCATACAACATATTGTTTAGTTTTGAAAATTTGGTAGTTGCATAAAGAAGATCAGAGTTACACTATTAATTGAAAACTAAGGGATGAATGCAACATTATCCCTTAGTGTCAGCTCCCCTGAGAGTTTACAAGAGCCCTTTCCGGGGTAGTCAGTGAGCAGGTTGGAAGCTAGTCCTAGCAGACACAAGGCTCTGCACAGTCAGAGCATGTGGCAAGGCTGCCAGGTGAGCCCGATACTGATGTCGGGCAGAACTATGTCAGAGGGTATGGGATGCTCTCTATTTTCTACCTTACCTCCAGCTCTCAGATACAGGGTTAAGCAGAAAGTTTGGTGAGATGAAATGAGTATCCTTAGGTGATCCAGGTAGCAAGACATGGAAAAGAGAGCAGGAATTTTATCAACAGATGGTCATAACACAGATTAGAACCTAAGCAAGGTTCATTCAAGCATTCTATCTTGAGGTTGGAGAAGAGGGTAAAATAACAGTGGAAACTTGGCTATAGCAGCCACCAACATATCTGTCTCTTGAGTCTCATGTTTCTCTCTGGGATAGTTGTCCTCTATATCGATTGATAGCTGTCCTGGAATCTCCCTTCACTCTCTTCATGAGAATTCCCCTTGCCTCACTCCTGAGTTGGATCACCTGTTTCTTACATCCTGACTGGAACGCATAATTTGTGGGGCCCAGTGAAAAGTGAAAATGCAGAGTCCCTTATTAAAAAATCAAGAATTTCAAGATGGTGACAACAGAGCATCAAACAGGTACGGGACCCTTCTATGTCTGGGGCCTGGGCAACAGCATGGGTTGATGCCAGCAATACCAGCCCTGCCTCTTCCCTAATTTACTCTCTTATTCTAGGAGAGCACATTCCCCGGTAGTCTTTTTCTATGAATGTGTGGGAAATAAGCTTTTGAGACTTGCACATCTGAAAATGTCTTTGCTCTGTCTTCATACTTGCATGTAAGCCACTTTATTATACAACACTGTAATCTGAATGTTGCTCCCTGGAGTTGTGTAATACAGCAGCCCTGCTTGACTAATGGTTTGGCTGGGTATAAAATTCTAGATTGGAAACAACTTTCCTTCAGAACTTTAAAAATATTGCTCCTTTGTCTTATTTATAGTGTCACCGTGGAGAGGTCTGGAGTTATTTGGGTTCTTAATTCCCTTTATGGTACCTGTTTATTCCTCTCTAGAAGTTTATATAAATTCTCTTTGCCCCAGAGTTCTGAAATTTTATGGTGTGCCATTGTGAGTGTCTATTTTCATTCACGGTGCTTGGGACTCTATAGGCCCTTTTGATCTGACAACTCACGTTCTTCATTCGGGAGAAATTTTCTTAAATTATTTCATTAGATGATTTTCTCTGCTCCATTTATGTTGTTCTCTCTTTCTGGAGCTTTTATTATTTGGATGGTGAGCCTTCTAGACCAGAACTCTCACTCTCTTACTCTTTCCTCTTTGTCTACTCTGCTCTAGTCTCTGAGAAAATCCTTACTCTTACATTCTGGCCATTCTGTTTTTTTATTTCATGATTATGTCTTTAATTTCTAAGAGCTCTTTTTATTCTCTAAATGTTCCTCTCTTGGGGAGTCTGGGTGGCGCATTCAGTTAGGCGTCTGCCTTTGGCTTGGGTCATGATCTCGGGGTTCTGGGATCGAGCCCCTCTTCCTCTGCCTGCCACTCCCCCAGCTTGTGCTCTCTCTCTCTGCGTCAAATAAATAAATAAAATCTTTTTTAAAAATGTTCCTCTCTTATAATGTCCTATTCCTGTTTCATATATGTGGTGTTCTCTTATCTGAGGATATAGGAATTCTTGTTTGTTTGTTTGTTTGTTTGTTTTCTCCTCCCTGCATAGTCACTATTGCTCCATGGTGTTTGTGTTTTTTTTGTTTTGTTTTGTTTTTGTATTTATTTGGATCTCTATCTTTTTTGTTGGGGACTGTCCTCAGATATCTGATAATCCTTATTTCTTAGCTCTTAATTAAAAATGGGGAACTAAAAAACACTTAAAACACTGAGCAAGTGGACAGGCTTGCTGACTTTGAACTTTATTCTAAGGTGACCTGAGTGGGCTCTTTCAGTATTCAACACTGAAGTCAGTATTTTTACATTTTCTTCTTGTTCTGGTCAGATTCCCAGAAAGGAATATTCCTGTCTCCTCCCTGGTGAAGGAGAGTCTGGCTGAGACACAAATGAGCAAAAAAGGCTGGAGAGTCGGAATATATGAGCTCATTTTTCCCCCAATAAGAAGCCCTTCTCAGACCATCTATATTACTCTCTACAGAGACAAAACCTTCAGATTGTCAGCATGGGGGAAGAACAGTCATCTGGTACCATAAAGAGAGAAAAGGCAGTTAGGAATGCAGTTGCTTCTCAAGTAGCTTTTTCTTCCTTATTTGAGGTCTACCTTTTACCCCAGTCCTAGGCATACCTGATGCTGCCAATTCCTGAGCCTCCTGAAGATTCTACAGTTCGAAGCCAACTTTCTTGGGTCTGTTGTTAAATCAGTTACTACTTGTCCATGTACTTTCCAGCTTCCAAAATTTCATTGCTCTTGTCATCTCTCCTATTTTCCTGTACTTGTATGTTTATATCTTTGAAGAATCTCTTCAATGTAGCTATAGGGTGCTTTAGGAGGAAATAAAATTAGATGCATGCATTCAATTCACCATTTAAACTCAGAACCCCACCTTCTTTTTTTTTTTTTTCAGGTTTGTTTTAAAGTAAGCTCTACGGCCCTACATGGGGCTTGAATTCATGACCCTGAGATCAAGAGTCGCATGCTCTACCAACTGAGCCATCCAGGCACCCCATAACCCCATTTTCTTTGAACAGTCTTTTTAGAACTTATTGTACCTTGTTTTTACTCATTCAAATGTATTGATGATGGAGCTGGTACATCAGCATGGCAGTGACAGCTAACCTTCAAATCCCAGGCATGGCTTTGGCTAGTGTCTAAATGTGGGAAACATTAACAGGATTACCTGCACTACCTCCTCTTCTCCCACAGCTCCCCAGCTTGGCCACTTAGGAGCTGACATGTTCCTACATAATCTCACATGCAGGTTAGAGTTGATTGGCGTAGGGAAATCCAACCTAAGCTAGACCAATAACTCACTTCTCTGAGATTCTTGGATATCAGCCAGAGAAGCCATCCTTTGTGGAAAACTCTAAAATGTAAATTCCTCCCCTCCTGCCACCCGTATTTTGTTGCTGGGTCAAGTTTACCTGCAACATTCTTTCTTCAAGATGTATTATCTTTTAGAGAGTCAAATTGCTTTGCCTTTCACCATTGCAATCCAAAGCCCCTTCCTCCTGCCCACCTAAAGTCCCAAACGTCCAGCATGGAACTGGAGAATGAAGAGAGGGAACTCCAGAAGAGCCCAGACTCTTGGGAGTTCAGAGCTCTCATCCTCTATAATGCTGATGATTTAGGCGATAGTATACCTTTTATTCCCCCCCCCAAAAGGGAGTGGGGTTTAAAAGCATTTTAGTATTCAAATGCAAATTTCACCAGTAATTAAAATTTTTCCCTCAGGAAACTCTTAGTGCAGTAAAAAAGATACTGACTTTGGATCCAAAAAGTTTTGAGGTCTATATTCAAATGCTGTTATTTGATCTCTTTTCCCTCAGTTTTTTCATATGTGAAATGGGATTAAAAGCACAGGGATTTATGGGGTGGCTCAGTCGTTAAGTGTCTGCCTTCGGCTCAGTTCATAATCCCAGGGTCCTGGGATCAAGCCCTGCATCAGGCTCCCTGCTCCACGGGAAGCCTGCTTCTCCCTCTCCCACTCCCACTCCCCTGCTTGTGTTCCCTCTCTCGCTGTGTCTCTCTCTGGCAAATAAATAAAATCTTTAACAAAATAAATAAATAAATAAATAATAAATAAATAAAGGCACAGGGATTTAAAAAGACACAGTTTAAAAGGTGCCTGGCATGTGGTTAAGCTCTATAAATGTACAGTCTTCCCCATCTTCCTCAGCTGTTAGCAAGAGCACTAAGATAATAGAGCTTCTTCTGTATGGCAAATATTCCCAAGAGTGTTAAAGAAGGACACAACAGCAAAGGCAAAAACGATCTACCTGAGGCCTGGGGATCTCTGAGAAGGCTGCTCCTTACAGATGTTTCAAAAGGGAAAAGTAACCGAGGGGCGCTTGGCTGGCTCATTCAGTAGAGCATGCGACTCTTGATCTCAGGGTTGTAAATTTGAGCCTCACATGGGTTTAGAGATTACTTAAAAATAAAATCTTAAAAAAAAAAAAGGAACCGAGAACCCCCCTATGTTTGTCAGGCATGGTGGAGGGATGTTTAACTTGGACTTTTTTTTTTTACCTGCTTGTTTATTTTAACCATGAAGTCTATGATCCAAATGCATATGAAATATAACACACACATGATACCAACATTACTTTGGTAACATTTTTTGAGTCACGATCCCTTTGACACTTTTCCCAGAAAAACACATGTGTGTATTTGTACTCACACAACTACACTCTGCCGGTGTTTGTCCATCTCCTAAGCCAAGGACATCCCGTGAATAAATTCTGACCTACAGAGGCACTTTGATTGCACCGCAGTCCTCCTCTGCACCCCCACACCACCTGCTGCCAAGCAAGGAGACTGGCAAGTCCCACTGGACACCTGGGGGTGAAGCTGTGGTGGGGATGGAGCTGGGAGCGGGAATGGGGTGGAGGTGTCAGGGCAGCATGCCCGCCAGCTGCTCCAATGACCCCACAGAGCTAGTAGTAGTGGGTGAGTAGCCCAGGCCAAGCCATGCTGGGGACACAGGCTGTGGGCGGTGCCCCAGAGCATGGAGGCTCCCACTGCCCAGTGTCCTGGCCAAAGGGGAGGGAGAGGAGAGAGAGCAGGAGGAAAAGTGGAGGGAACCCCACTTTCAGGAGAACTGTCAGAAGATAGCAGCCTTACTTCCCCATCTCGGGACATGATTTTCCCTAGAACCTGAATGATTTCCTTCCTCCTGTGTGAGAAGCATCCTGCCACGTGTAGCTGAGGGGCATCTAGGGCCGGGCAGGAATAGAAAAAGAGCTGAGAACCCACATATTTGTCAGGCATGGTGGAAGGAGTTTTAACATGGACTTTATTTTAAACCACCAAGTCCTGATCCCAGTGTATTTGAAATAGAACCCAACACGTAACACCAGTATTAAGTAATGTTTTTTTGAGTCTTTGATTTCTTTGACACCGGCTCCATGGTGGGCAGGACCTACAGAGCCAGTGGACCTTGATTGGTGGATGGAAGCAGCCTCACCAAGCACTGGAATTATCTTCAAAGACTGCCGGGGAGTAGAGGGCTGGGTGGATTTGGCGGCCCAGGCCAGCAACTCTGAAGCCTTTGGGGGTATGTCTGAGGTCCAGACTCCTGCCAGAGTCAGAGCTGAGCTGGCCTCCCGGGGGTGAGAGCAAGGAGGGGTATGCTCCTCTACGTAGGGGGTGGGGGTTGAGAGGCAGGTGGTTGTCATCCCTCTACATGGCCCCCATCCCCAGATCTAAAGGAAGAATGCATACCAGCTATTAATTCTGCAAGCTCTTCAACGTGCAAGGGCCTAAAACAGATACCCCAGGCTGCCTGCACTAATAAATAACAACTTCATCCCTAAGTCTTTTGAAGGGTATGAAGTGGAACATTTAAAAACAAGATAAAAGATAAAAGTCACACTTTGTTCTTAGAATTAACTTACCTCCCCTCATTTTACCCTCGCACCCACAGAAATGGGTGTTTTTACCTCCCCTCTCACAAATGAAGAAACTGGGTCTGAGGTTGCTCAAGGTCACATAGTTAATAAGTGACAGAATCAAGGTCTGAACTAGGTCTGACCCCAAACTGGTGTCCTTAGTACTGCCTTCCCACTTCCGAGGTGAGGCAGATGGGTCTTCATCAGGCTGAGCGAAAAGAAACCCGTCTCTCAATGGATGAAGATGCCACTGACAAGGGACCTGGGACAACTGCTGCCTTCCCTTCTTTTCTACCCACAAGAATGTCTTCACCCTGAACTGCTTATGAAACCCCACCTTTGTGAAATGGCTTGCTGAATTTAAGACTGCTGCCTGTGAAACTTGACCCCTTTTTTCCGTTTTTAAGTCTAACTGGACCTATGATATGCCTAACTGGCCCATGTTCAGACCAAGTGACCCAACCAGACATAACTGACACGTGGCGCATAGTTCCTTCCAATAAATACATCCTTTCAAATTGGTGTGGCCATTTAACCATCAATTGTCCAACCTCTCCACAGGGACTCAGGGAGTAGCTCTGCCTTTCCCCGTGCCCAACTACTTTCTTCCTCTGCCAGTTATTTTTCTCAAACATGGTTAAGATCCAGTTACTCTTTTGCTTAAGAATCTTCCATGATCTCCCACCCATCTACAAGCATAAAGACAAGACTCATCACAAGAGGTTCCCTCCTATCCTTGCAGCTCTTAAATTTGGAGACAAAGTGAAATCCCAAAGTAGAGCGAAGCGTTCTCTAGAGCTGCAAGTGTACTGATTCTTGCCCTCAGATCCTAGGTGACAATAATCAGAGTGTCAAGTGTAAATAGTAAATAAAATCTTTCATTTAGCCCACACCCATCCTACAGAGTTTGGTACTCAGAGAAATGTGGGCTACTCAGAGCGAGGGGCTCAGAGTTTTCTTTCTTTATAACCCACTCCTATCTCTTTGGAAAAACAAGTCTGGGAAGGTTTAGAAAAAAGTTAGATAACTGGAAATAGAAAAAGCAGGATCAAAAGGAAAGGGAAATGCAAATATTCTAGGTCTTTAGGTCTTTATGCTTCAGAATTGACTCTGGATTTCCTGGTAGGCAGGGCAAAAAGGGAAGCAGGGTATATTACTTGAATTTTATTGATAGAAAAAAGGAAACTTGTCATTTCTTGAAAAAAGCAAAATATTTTATGTTACTGTTTTTATCTTTCTTCATTGCTTATTTATAAAATTAGTCCATCTTTCTTATAAAAAACTCAAGTAATACAAACAACTATACAATAAAAAGTGTATGCCCCCTTACCTACATCTCCAATCTCCTTCTCCAGAAGTAAACCTTAAGCCCTGAGACTACCCATTTATTTCTAAGGCTTTTTGTTTTGTTTTGGTTTTTTGGTTTGGGGTTTTTTTGGATGGTTTTTTGGTGGGTTTTTTGTTTTTTGCCATTAGAAGTACTTACACAGTTTTCATAGAATGTGGATTTTGCTTGCTTGTTTAAAATATATATATATATATCAAATTGACTATATTCTTTTATAACTTGCATTTTCACTTCACAGTGTACCCGGGCCATCCTTCTATATCTATATCTATATCTGTATCTGTATCTGTATCTGTATCTCTGTCTATATATCTCTTTCATTTTAATGACTATGATATTCCATTATATGGAGGTAGCATAATTTATTTAACTATTCCCTTATTTAAATTATTTCAGATTTTATAGTCTTATAATGGGCATCCTTGTATGTACACTTTTGTGAAGGTATGAGTATTTCCATGGGAAATATTTGTAGAAGTGGAACTGAGGGATCACATGGCTCATACATTTCAAATTTTGATGAATTTTGATGAAATTTTGCCCTGGGTATTAACTCCAGGGATCCAGATTGTGAGCAAAGCCTTTG